AACCCTAAACCCTAAAGCTCTAAGGCCCTAAACCCTAAACCCTAGGGGACTTCGCGTTAGGAAGTTTAGGGGTTTCAGGGGTTTAGGGGTTCTAGGGTCTATAGGTTAAGATGCCTTTTTGGAAAGTTCAATCTAGCGGCATATCAAACGAGTATGACCCCATATAATTTTGTTCCTCAAAGGACAGCAAGAACAGTTCGCAGAGCTTTGGACCGTCTGTTGCTCCTCATCTTGCGTTTGCTTGTGCTTCTTGATTGAGTTGGGGAGCTCCAGGACGTGCTGCTTATCTGCAGCCCCTAAACCCCAAACCTAAACCCCTAAACCCTAAACCCCTGAACCCTAAACCCCTACACCCTAAACCTCTACACCCTAGACCCGATAAGCTCACTCTCCTCTTGGTCACAGGCGTTGCTTCTTGCCGCAGTTTTGGGTTCTGAGCCTAAACACAGGCGAAACCGAAGAGGTCGCTCACCATGGCCTTGTCCATGGAGGGTGGGAACATTTCGGCGATGAAGCCGTTGAGCTTGGAGAGCGCGGAGGAGGAGACTCTGAACCGGAAGCCCTATAAACCCTACCCCGGAAGCCCTCAAGCCCAAACCCCCAAGCCCTAAACCCTGAACACTAAAAACAACACCTAATAACGCCTGAGGCTCCTCTCTGTATAACCCTATCATAAACCCTAAACCCTAAACCCTAACCTAAACCCTAAACCCTAAACCCTAAACCCTAAACCCTAAGCCCTAAACCCTAAACCCTAAACCGTAAACCCTAACCTAAACCCTCATACGCTCTTGAGGAGAACTGGGATTCCCAGGTTGATGCGTGGATGAGACAGGACCTGAACCGAAGGATGCTCTGGGGCTCTTTAGGGTTTAGGGTTTTAGGGTTTGGGGTTTTAGGGTTTTAGGGTTTTAGGGTTTAAGGTTTAAGGTTTAGGGTTTTAGGGTTTAGAGATTAGGGTCTAGAGTCTAGGGTTTAGGGAGTTAGGATGCTATAATGGTACTCCCAAAAAGGGACTACGATGGAGCCTATGGGTATAAGGCTCAAACCCAATGATAACTGAGGGGCTGAGGAGATAACCTTAAACCTTTTGGGGCTTCTAGATTATACTATAGTTGAAAAGATTATATAGCCTTTTTATTTAGGGTTGAGGGTACTCAGCCCCTGATCGATATCATGACGAGGAAAGCAGAGCGATTAGCACATATCCGCGTGGCAACCTGAATGTGAAGCTCGCTGTTTTCTTGTTACAGTAGGCATATAATATAGGGGCCTAAATTTTTTACCAATATTATTTTGGCGGGTTCCTTTGTTATAAACATAGTATAATGGGCCCCGAAACCCTATCCTAATCATTAAGGCCCCCTATATGAACAACATGGTGCCCCTTCTTAGCTTCACCTTGCTTAGACCAAGCTCCTTAACAAGAGCCTCATCTAGACTCCAGATCGCTGCCCCATAGAGAACCCAATCCTTAAAACAAATTAATGAATATACCTTAAATCATCATACTATTACGGCCACTATAATTTAAGGTATATCCCTCAATTAAGGAATATACCTGAAATCATACTATTCAGGACTCCTGGGAGGAAGGTCGAGCCGATTTCATCAAAGATGCGCCGTTCCCTCCAGACCGGGAGTCGCAGCTTTGGCGTATATAGGCCTTGAAGGAGTTCTGAGGGTTTAGAGAAGAGAAAACAAAAGTGTCTATGACAAGGCACCTCTACAGGGTTTAGGGGTTTAGGGTCTAGGGTTTAGGGTGTAGGGGTTTAGAGTTTAGGGTTTAACGTTTAGGGTTTCGCGGTTTAGGGTTTAGGGTTTTCTAGAGAACCCAATACAGCTTAATTAAGGAATGTACCTTAAATCATATTTTTAAGGCCCGTATAATTCAAGGCACATTCCTGAATCAGGGGGTATTGGGCTCTCTGGGGAGTTCCGAGAGTTGAGTGTTTAGGGCTTATAGGGTTTAGGGTTTAGCTACCCCGAATGAAACCGCTTTACGCCCCAGAAGTCCACCCTAAACGCCCATAAACCCTATAGGAGCCTTAAGCGTCCCTAAAACCATAAACCGTTAGGTAGCTGCTTTCGGCCTTTAGGCTTTAGGTGCTTGGATTGGCGACGTTGTCGTCCCAGGGGAGAGGTTTCAAGATACAAAAACCTGAGGGGCTGAGTAGGTGACCTTTAACCTTTTGGGGCTTACATAATCCTACTATATTTTAAGAGGTTAACCTTTTTTGGGCTAGGGGACTCAGCCCCTAAGAAACCCTAAGCCCTAAAGATCAACAGCATATCGGCATCAAAAGCTCGCCAGGCTTAAAAAGGGCTTCAAGCGGTCAGTGCTTGTTGGTTAAAGTGTCACCGGAGTTATTCAGGGGACTAAGGGTTAGGAGTCGGCCTGGCCTTAGCCCTAAGGGTCCATGTAGCCAATAGTATATACTTTGGCCAGAAAGTACCCATATAGGAACTACTTTAAGGCCAAGGTATCGGCTATTTGGGTACATGGACCCTCAGGGTAAGTGTTCTCAGGGAAGCCGGGCAAGTAAGGCATGATGCCCACGTGGCAAACCTTGAACGCTTCCTCGCAAAGCTGCAAAGCTATCCCGGCATTTTGTTTCAGTTGAAAAACATTTTCAGTTTGTATGATGTCATGAAGATTAGCTGCTTGATTCTTTACGGTCGAAAGACGAATAGTGATCGTTCTTGTAAGTCAACAATTGCCCAAGGCATGCTGGAACGGTGCGTGAAGGATAAGCGATATGTCGCTGAGCAGTTTCAGTTGGTGGAGAGCAGCAAGGTTGAGACGCAAGAGGCTGGTCGCGAGGGTGATGATGACCCCGACGCAGCTGATGTGTTCGCACCAGTATCCTGGCTTTGGCACCTTATCGGTCGTGACTAATCCTCCAGTTCCATATCGTAAAGCATGTGCCATCATTAAAGGTTCAATTCGTTCCGGTGCAGGCCTCGGAACAAGAGCCCCAGCCGCTTGCCATATTGGCACTCATGGTCATCATATTCAACCTGCTACCACTATTTCTTCTCAGCAAGAGCTAAGTAGATTCCAGGAATGTGCATCATAGGTTCACAAAAAAAAACAAATCAAACGTAAATAGGCGGCCCAGGGGTATTCTTGCCAGGGTCTTCCAAATCATTTGCCAGCTTGTGCTCCCGAAGCAATGTCAGCCATGCTGATCTTGTCGACTTCGGAAGTGCCACGACTGGATTACGAGGTGGAAAGTGCAAGAGCTTGCCGTCGTGTCTGTTGAGCTCGCTTGTTTAACAATGCCCTCCTCAGCCATTTCACTGTCTCTTTGTATCGCTGCTGGCAGATTCCGAGATTTCAAGAAGGGGCAGCTCCGGTTGCTTTGAAGCTGGGGCGCCTCTTGTTCGTGTCTGTCACTGTGCCTTATGTACCATTTGTAGCCGTACAAACCTGAGTGCACGTCACTCTTTAAAATTCGGCAGGTGCGTAACCGCGCCGGTGAGTTGCGTCTCTGTGGTTCCTGTGACATGCGGAGCATCTCACATCATGCTTGACACCTCTAGTCTCCATTCTAGTTTCTTGTTTGGGTTGAGCCAACTTTTTTTGTAGGATCCTATAGAGGTAACCCCAAAAAGGACCTACAATGGAGACCAGAGGTAGCCCTGCCTGGGATGCTTATAAATCGATCCACCGGGGTGGCAGCAGTCCCCTCGTGGTTCCTGTACCTCAAGTTCAGACTCCAAAAAGCCAGTCACCAAAAAAAAGAGGCGTTGGCTTTAGGACACTTTTTTTAACCTCCCTCATGGTCCGTAAACCCTAAACCGTTAAATTAAACGCCTTGTAAAAGCTAAACCCCAACCCAGAGAACCCAATACTGCTTAACTGATGAATATACCTGATATTATAGGGGCCTGAATATTATGATTTAAGGTATATTCCTTAATTGAAAAGTACTGGGTTCCCTGGGAAACCCTATAGAGGTACCTTTTCATAAACACTTTTGGGTAGTTCTCTAAATTAGGGTTCCTGTTTGGGTCCTTTTTACAAGGGACCGAAAAAGGGACCCTAATTTAGAGAACTTCCCATTTAGAATACCCTAAACCCTAAGCCCTAAACCCGTTTGGTTTTCTCTGAAAGTAGAAGCCAGAAAAGGGGAGGGGTCGCCAGCTCGAGGAACCCCAAGGATTCGGGTATTTAGGGTTTAGGGTTCAGGGTGTGGGGTTTGGGGTTTAGGTTCAGGGTTTAGGGTTTTAGGGTTTAGGGTTCAGGGTTTAGGGTTTAAGGTTCAGGGTGTGGGGTTTAGGGTTTAGGTTCAGGGGTTTAGGGTTAAGGGTGTAGGGTTTAGGTTTCAGGGTTTAGGGTTCAGGGTTCAGGTTGTGGGGGTTTAGGGTTCAGGGTTTAGTGTTTAGGGTTTCGGGTTCAGGGTTTAGGGTTTATGGTTCAGGGTTTAGGGTTTGGGGTTCAGGGTTCAGGTTGTGGGTTTAGGGTTCAGGGCTCAGGGTTTAGGGTTCAGGGTTTAGGTTTAGGGTTGTGGGGTTTAGGGTTGTGGGGTTTACGGTTCAGGGTTTAGGGTTCTGGGTTTAGGGTTTAGGGTCTAGGGCCAAAGTGTAGGGTTTAGGGTCACCCCTCACCTTAAGCCAGGTACTTAGCAATCAAAGGCCGTTGACTCGTAGGCCCTGCACTCTAAACTCTGAGTGCACTTCCCCATCTACCCGGAGGATTCACCCAAAGCGCCTAACAGCCCTTGTTTACACAGCAAGAAAGACTACATAGCCCCCTGATTCTAATCACCCCCGCACAACTCTTCCAAGATCTTAAGATCCCTATAAGCTGCATGTCAACCCAAACAAAAACAAAGCCTCTGAACCCATCTAGAAAACACCCCTAAGCACTAAAAGCCCTAAACCCTCTAACCCTCCCTAGACCCCCAAACCCTAAACCCTAAACCCCCCAAGCCCTAAACCCTAAACCCTAAACCCCCAAACCCTATAAGCCCTATAAGCCCTATAACCCCCATAAGCCCTAAACCCAAGCCCCGTAACACTTAGGAACCCCCGGCCCGGCCGAGGATCCTCGGCCCGAAGCCTTGGAAACCTCGGCCCCTAAGCCCTAAAGCCCTGAAGCCCTATATTCGGGTTTAGGGTTTTAGGGTTTTAGGGTTTAGGGTTTAGGGTTTAGGGTTTAGGATTTAGGATTTAGGGTTTAGGGTTTAGGGTTTAGGGTTCCTAAGCCCTACCTGTGGCCGGAAAGACCTAGACCTTTTTAGGGTTCCTTCTTGTGGTTCCTATGTATAGGTTCTTAAAAAGGTAGGTCTTTTCGGTTAGAGATATGGGTTAGACCCTATAACTAAGGGGTCATAACCTACTATTTCGTAGGGTTTGGGGTTGCAGGTAAACCCCAGATGCCCTAATGCCATGACCCGCTCCCAGGAACGCTATACCCCAAATACCTAACTAAGATTTTAACTCTCTACCCAGAGAGCCCAATACCCCTCAATTAAGGAATTAGCCTCAAATTATAGGGCCCTTAACATTATGTTTTAAGGTAATTATTTTCGTTAATTAAGGGGTATTTGGTTCTCTGCGTAATGCTGTAAACACCAAACACAGGCGATGCTACCTGGATCCTCGAGCTTGAGCTTCGGGAGTTCATCGAGGTTTCGGACGTCTCCTTTGAGAAGGCCCGGGCGGATTGTGCAAGAAGGCTTGGGTGGATGTGCGTCTATAGCACCAACGGGTAAACAAGCAACCAACCTTTTTTGCATGACGTGCGTGCATGCATTCATGCATATCTCAGGCGTTTGAATGTTGATTTAGTTCTTTTTTCTGGTGCGCTCGATCGTTGGGAGGGAGCCGAGGGTTTCAGGGGTTCAGGCTCAAAGGATATCCAATGTGTGGCAAATACTGTTGATGACATAAATCCTGCATTTCCTTAAGGACTTAAGGACACCAAACTATGGGAAAGATGGTGTATTCCTAAACTATGGGTAAACCCTAAACCCTAAACCCTAAACCCCAAACCCTAATTATGGGTAACGCAGGATTTTTATATTATCAGCAGCTGTAGGGCTTCGGGAACACGGTTTAATCAGTTCAGGGTGTAGGGGTTTAGGGGCTTAAGGGTTTCATATAGGGGCCTGAAGAACTAGAACAGGGTTTTGGGGTATATTGTACTATAACTATGAGTGAGGAACCCCCCCAAACTAATTAGTATTGGTAATTCTTTCGGCCCCTAGATTAGGAGTTCAGGGTCTAGGTTTTCAAGCAGGTTGAATAGCAGCAATGGTACTCCCCCCATGTCAGGTTGTGTTGTAATTATACAAGTACTTATCCATAGGGCTACTATCTGTGAAACTATGAAAGCTCTAAGGCATGTACAGTAACAAGCCGAGTGTAAGACCGAGGATGCTTACAGGATCAAGGTAGCTCAGAAGGAGGGTCATGACCCAAACCCGAAGCAAAAAGACCCTATATGACCGGGACTGCCCCACATTTGGGGCACTTGGTGGCTTGACTTCCAGCTTCCTAACTTTGGTACCGTGAGGCCTTAACACCCCGCCCCCCCCCCAAAACCCCAAACCCTAAACCCTGAACCCTAAACCCCAAACCCTAAACCCTAAACCCTAACCCTAACCTGAAGTCCTTGCTTCCTAGAGCTTAGGTTCATAAATGGAATATACCTGAAACCATAAGATGAAGGCCCCTGTAATTTAAGGTTAGGGTTTAGGGTTTAGGGGTAAGAGGAAGGCCCCCAGAATTGAAGGTATATTCCTTATTTACGGGGTGTTGGGTTCTCTGGGTAACATCCCTTGAAAGGCCCAAAGTCTGGAGCCTGTGTTATACCCGGCACAACTCTGCCCCTACCCATAGGCTCCAAAGTAGTTTCTTTTTGGGGTTACCTTATAAGACCCTAAACAAGTATAAGCCACACAAAAGGAATTACAATGGAGCCTATGGGCAGTATTAGGGGGACCCCTTAAAAGGGGACCCTTCTGAACCCTGCTTCTGGCTCTCTTAAACGGGACCGTTATATAAAACGGAACTACTTTGGAGCCTGTGGGTAGTATTCGGGAGACCCCTTCTGAACCCTGCTTCTGGCTCTCTTAAAAGGGACCTTTATACAAAACGGAACTACTTTGGAGCCTATGGGTAAGCCCTAAACCCTAAACCCTAAACCGTGTGGCCCTGGGGGAAGGACGGTAGCATGCAGAAGCGATCCATCCGATGCCGGGACGAATCCCGGCGTCTTGGGTTTAGGGTTTGGGGTTCAGGGGCCCTGTAAAAAAAAAGGACATAAGCAGACGCATCTTACAGGGACATGTCCCGACCTTAATGCCTTAATTATTTGGGTTTCAATTTTGGGGAGGTGGATCTCCGTCTCCAAATATTTGCTCATGTTTTTTTCTTGTGGGGCCCTACTCATGGTCCTGCTGTTGTTGATATAAATCCTGCATTACCTCAGGACCCCAAACTATGGGGATTATGGTATATTCCTTCTTATGGGTAATGCAGGATTTATATCATCAACCGCAGGACTTCGGGTGGGGGGTTCTTGGGGATTCAGGCTGGAGGGCTCAGGTTTGTTTGGTGTTTTTGTTTGGATGCGTTCGCCGAGTGCCCAGGATGGCCTTTCGGGTCGCAGCAAAACAAGGCACCAAGATGCAAGAGGCATTTGGACTAGGGTTTGGGGTTATATTATACTGTAATAGCAACAAGGGACCCCCCCAAAAAAAACCATTCTACTTACTAAGGCCCCAAGCCCTACCCATAGGCTCCAAAGTGGTTCCTTTTTGTGGTTTACATTTGGAATCCTATAAGGTAACCCCAAAAAGAAACTACTTTGGAGCCTATGGGTAAACCCTAAACGCAAGGTTTCAGCGCCTTGTTTTTTTGTTGACGTTCGAGCTCTGAGGTCTAATCACCCGTAAGCCTAAGACTAGGGAGGCCATGCTGTACCAGGGTTTAGGGTTTAGGGTTTGGGATTCAGGGCGTATCTCGAGCTATGGTTTAGGGAGCTTCTGAATGGTGAGGCCTAGACCGGCGCGCAGGTCATCATTACCTCAAGCTACCACAACCTACTTTTTTGTAGGTTCTTATTATAAACCCGAATATGGAGTTTATAGGAACCCTACAAAAAAGTAGGTTTTGGTAGGTTAAGGTGGGTTTTATAGGGTTCGGCGTTGTGTCCTGGCAACAGTGGGCCCTCAGGCTCCTCGTGCTCAGCTGCAGCTGAGTGGACTCAGTTGTCACTAGGAGTCACCTTTGTCTTTGCGGCTTAGGGTTTACCCATAGGCCCGTAAGTAGTTCCTTTTTGTGGTTTATAGTTAGAATCCTATAAGGTAATCCCAAGAAGGAACTGTATGGGTAGGGCCGTGTATTCTTTCAGATGACTGTTGAGGACTTTCAGCAGGCGATTGGCTTTTCCGAGGTACCGGGTCGCGAGAACTCGCAAGCAATTTGTCCAGAGTGGTGCACCTGTCGGCTATGAGTCTAGGAAAAAGATGAAACCAGGTTGTGTTTTAGAAGTTTTTTCGAAACGGTAAAGCCTACACCCGAACCACTGCCTACAAAAAAAAGAACCGTAACCTTAAAACGAAACCCAACACTCCGTTTGCTTCAGGATTGGGCCTCTTGGCAGCTGGCTGACGATGGGCGTCTTGCTGCGATGAGAGCGGTGACTGTCAAGGACCTGGGCGGACTACCCCTAGGCCCTATAAACCCTAAAGCTACAGCCCTAAACCCTAGACCCTAAAACCCACAAACCCCAAACGCTAAACCCTAAACCCTAAAGCTAAAGCCACTAAACCCTCGAGATTCCTAACAACCCCGAACACCGAAACCCAGAAGCAACAAAGCCCAAGTCCTAAAACTCTAAACCCCCACGACCCTAAGCCCCCAAAACCCTAGACCCCTATGAAGATCTACACCCCTTAATATAGGGGCCAAAATAATTACGAATACTATTTTGGGGGGTTCCTCATTTGTTTGTTTTTACTTATAGTACAACACACCCCAAAACCCTATTTTTCATTCTTAAGCCCCCCTACATTAGACCCTGTGCTTCTGGAAGGATGCCAGGGGAGTGCAGCTCTGTGCCGACGTAGCGATCAGCTTCCGAGTTGGTGTCGGCGAGGTCGGTACCCTAAATGGGTAGTTCTCTAAATTAGGGTTTATAGGGTTTAGGGTTTAGGGTTCAGGGTTTTAGGGTTTTGGGGTTTAGGGTTTCGTGTCTAGTTCTCTAAATCAGCGTCCCTTTTCCAGTTCCCAATATAGTACCGCACCCTTACCAAAAAAGGACCCTACAAAGGACCCACCCTAAAGCCTAAACCCTACTTATAAAGCTCAAACGCAGCCGCGGCACCTTGCTGGCTTCCGGGATGGAGGGCTGCGTGAATATGGGGTGGGGGGCTTTGGAAGTTCAGGAAGCCTTTAAGGCCCCTTAGGGCTTTAGGGTTTAGGGTTTAGGGGTTTAGAGGTTTAGGGGTGTAGGGTTTAGGGTCTTTTGATGGGAGCTTCGGAACACTTTTTAACGTCCCTTCTGGCCCTATGATAGACTAGGCACCTTTTCATATTTTGGGAGTTCCTACAGTCCGACCCCCAGGTTGTGAAGGGAGCTTTCAAAAGGTGCAGGTTTTGAGACAGGTCTTGAACCTTGTTGCTCAAGATCTCCGAACACAAAACCGTAAGAGCTTGGGCCTCAAGATGTAGAAGGAGTCGAGGGCCCATTGTGATCCCCACGTAGGGCTTTAGAGGGTTGAGAGGTGTCGATCTGAAACTAAGAAGAAACATGTAAGGCTCAGGGAGTATATCCTAGACCTCCGGTTGAGGAAGTGTGGAGACAGCTTCGCAAGGTGTGCGATGCCCTCGAGAGCGCAGCGTGTTCGCTGCTGGGACAGTGCTGTTGTTAGAGGATGGAGGGCTGGTGGGGTGAATAGCTTTCGAGGGTTTATAGTTTTGTGTCTTTGGGTGCGGGGTTTCGGGGTAAAACGTATAAAATTTCCTCCAAGCTGCAACTGTGCGGCAGTAATAATTAAGAAGATCTGAATACTTAGTAGCACTAGCGCCTTTTCGTCCCTGTAATTAGAGCAAAATATACACCAACGCACTATTCTAAGCACTCAGCCCCGTTTCGCAGCATCGGGTCACGGGACCACCCCATCAATCCTCTAGAACGCCACAGAGTAACCGTTTATACAAGGCCTTGCACGCAAATTTACAATCTTACCAGGCATCAAAGCCAAGCTCACCTTAAACCTTACATGCTGAACCCTAAACCCTAAACCACAAACCCTAAATCCCCGCATCCCCAAACCCGAACCCAAGAAGTGGACAGCCGAACCCCAATATCTCCAAGCTCGGAACCCTCAACACTAAGCCATTATAGGGATTTAGCATAGGGTTCCTTGTGAAGACGATGACGACGATATGCAGGCGTCTCTGTGCGAGGCCTCTGGTACAACCAGAAAGAAAAATGTTGGCGGGCTGACATGGCGGACCCCAACGAGGAAGTCTCGAAGCGAAGGTCTCGGCGGTTCCTTGTGTCCCGACGCAGCATGGAGCCGGAGCCCGTCGTGGCTGCTAAGCGCGAGGTGCTTAGCTTCTACAGGTCATTGTGCGACGATCAGCGAACAAGGCGGCTGATCGTCCGGCAGCCTTACCGCTGCGCTTTGCCCGGTGTGAAGTATGATTCTCGCAGATCGCTCCGCAAATGGTTCGTCCAACTGACCGGTAACAACGGAAAACGCAAGTTCTTGGGCATCTTCGAAAGTAAGGAAGAGGCGGAGTGGGCAGCCCTATCAGGGACTTTGTTTCTACGAGAGCAAGAAGAAGAAAAAGAAGAAGAAGCCGCCTCGAAACAAAGCCGCGGCCAAAAAAAAAACCTGACCCCGGACCCGGGTTGCCGAAGTCTAGAATGCGGGCGGGTCGGCAAGCCGGCGAGGTGTGTGAATGCTGGAATCATGAACCCCCGCCCCCCCTCATGATGCCAAACCCTGATGTGATTTGTCACCGACTCGCGAGCATGTACACCTTGATGGCTGGTAAGGTAACTTGCCAACTTTGTTTCACTCGCACCTTGACTGCTCAAGACGTGCTTCGTGCAACGTCCGGCAAAAGGCCGCTCGTGCGAAAGGTCGCCCCAGCTTTTTCTCGTAGCTGTGCGGCTAACCTAACGGTGTCTAGAACTCTAACTCCCGCGATGGCCCAAGCAGCCTTGTACTGGCGAGTAGATCAGGACCTCTCGCAACAGGTGGACTTGTTGGCCCGCTTGCTCACAGCACGGGCTCTTCGCGACAGCGGCGAGGCTGTCCCTCAAGAGCTCCTGCACCACCCTTGTGCGTTCCGGTGCGACCGGGGCTACGTGTGGCAGCGTGGTGGACAGCATGGGCGACAGTTTGGACTGCCTGGCGACAGGCCCTGCAGCCGTAGCGACGCGCCAGGTCATGGAGGCGGGCCCGGGCAAGGCGTTCGTGAACATGTTCGTCCTGATCATCCTGACCACTGTCACTGCCGCCCAGCTGCTTTTGAGCAATGCTCCGGCCCTGCAGTCCAACACAGTGGCGGACAAACTGCGCGCAATGAGGTGTGGGGCCACCGCCACCCGCGTTTCTTAGTGGGCAGCGCAACCATAGCCGTAAGGGTCCTGGAGGCACAGCTGGCCGCACTGGGAAGGGAGCCGGCTTCAGGTGCTGTTGTCTCCCACTCCCAGACGTCCTGTGGTGAAGGATGGGCAGCAGTGGCGGCCGAGGATGAAGGTCCTCAAGGACATCCAGAAGCTTCCGCAGATCGGGCGTTATGGAGCCGGTCGCTTCTGGACCTTGTGCAAGGCCTTGGTGTGTCAATACCCTATAGCTCTCCAGCAGAGCTTTGCCATTGTATAATAGGGTTCCCTTTATGGGTGCTGTAGGGTTCTACCATAGGGTTCCAGCTTAAAGGCGATCGACCCGGAAATTGAAAACCCTCAACCCTGAACCAAGACCCTCGCTCCACCGTGATGGTAGACCTCATCATAGCCCCCCGATAGTTAGCCTCAACACCTAAACCTAAAACCCGGGCCCTAAACCGTATTTTCTTAAACGCGGGAGCCCAAAAACCATCCAGCCCTAAGAGCCCTAAAACCCTAGATAGCCCGAAAAGACCCAACTTAGTTCTCCAATACCCAACCTTTAAACTTGCTGCGTTCTTATAACTAACCTGAAAGTTTAACCTTGTAGTTCCCGGGCTTTATTGGGGAAGTAAGCCAAGGATGAAAGAGGGGGAGATCGCTGAGTTCACTGTCAGCGACTCACAGCTGTGCATTGAGAACCTCCTTGGCAGCGCGGCTTTGCTTGGGAGTTTCGGAGTTTAGGGTCCATGGAGCCTCCTACACCCTCAACCCTGAACCCCCAACCCATAAACCCTGAACCCCTAAACCCTGAAACCTAAACTCCTATAAACCCTCAACACCTAAAACTTGAACCCTTAAACCCTGAACCGTAACTCATAAACCCCCGAACCCTGAACCATAAAATCTAAATGGAAGCGGGGGGAGGGAGGATTTGGGCGTGGGTTCAGGATTTAGGGGTTTTGGATTTACTTAGGATTTAGGGTTTAAGGTTTAGGGTTTAGGGCTTTAGGGTTTTAGGGTTTGAGGTTTTTAGGGGTTAGGGCTTGGGCTTGCTAGGGCTTACCAGCGGTCGAAAAGACCTATACCTTTTCTAGGGTTCCTTAATTATGGTTTATATATATATATATGTATATATATATATAGATAGACAGAGATAGTTCTTTAAAGCGGTAGGTCTTTCGGGCCTCAGGTAGGGCTTAGGAAAGGTGTTTATGGGGCTGCGACTCCACTCCCTGCCTGACTCAGGGTTTAGGGTTTAGGTCTCATCTTATGCGGACACCAACACCGTGGGAGTCTGCATCTTGTGCATAAGATAGGGGCTTGAACAATAAGTACTACTCCCCCTTAGGGTTCCTGATGATAAGCCCAAAGCCCTACACTCTAAACCTTCTCATAGCATAATATGTCCCGAACCTTGTTCTTATCACTACGGCCGCCCCCAAACCCTAAACCCCTAAGCCCTAAAAAAGACCCTAAACCCTAAAAACGACCCTAAACCCTAAACCCCAAACCTTAAGCCCTAGTAGGCCCCAGGCATCCTTGGACCGAACTGCGTGGTCTATTTTCTGGAGACCAAGGGTTCGACCACACAGGTCTGTGTAAGAGTTTGGGGGTTTGAGGGTTTAGGGTTGAGGGTTTTTTTTTTCGGGTTTAGGGTTTAGGGTTGAGGGGTATTTTTGGATTTGTTGTATGTTTGTCTGTTAGGTGGGTGGGTTGGGATGGGTGTTGGTGGGTGGTTGGGTGTTGGTGGGTGGGTGGTGGGTGGGTGGGTTGGGGGTATGGGTTGGGTGTGTGGGTTGGGTGAGCGGGCGGGCGGCGGCGGGTGGGTGGGTGAGTGGGTGGGCGGGCGGGCGGGGGGTGCGTGGATGCGTGGGAATGGGCTGGGTTTCTGTGACGTGAAAACCCTACAAACCCCCAAAGCCCAAACCTAAACTCCACAAGCCCTAAACTCGACACCCACTATTCAGGAGCATCAGGATTCCAGTACAGGAGTCCTGGCAATATCGAAGCCTAATTATAAATATATAAGTATGCTATGCCCGTATAGTCCCGATGTGGTTATACATAGTTATACTATATTATGCCAGACACCTTATTCTAATAATTCAGGCTCCTATATCCACTCTAAAAGCGTTAAGCCTTCAGCCCTAAACCCTGAAGGCCTTAAGTCTTAAGCCCTAAGCCCTACGAGATCCCCCGAAACCCGAAACCCGCGCCCCC